GTGTACGTGAAAGAAAGAGCAAAAAACAAAAACAATGTTGCTTTGAAAATGATTAAACTTTGTTGTCGCAGATGAAATTCGAAATAACACTCGAAATATTTCCTCTGCGTAAGCCTTAACGTTTAATATATATATGATTATTACAAAATGATAATTCTTTAGGGCCTTCCTTTAATCGATAAAAAATAAATGACAGGCCTTCCTTTAATCGATAAAAATAAATGACAGTTTTAAATATTTTTATTTAATTTTTAAAAATTTTTACATATTATTTACAATTAAAAGAAATCAATGCGCAGAAAAAAAAAAAAAAAAAATCTGAAAGGTTTCAGATTTTAAATTACGTCCAAAAGGGCGTTTTTTTTTTTTTTTTTTTTTTTTAAACGTTTTGTGTTTACTTTTATTTATTTACCTTTGTTAACGTTTTGTGTTCACCTTTATTTATTAAATATTATGTTGTACGTACTCAAACTATAAAATTCAGTTCAACAGCAATATCTCAAATTACATATCTTTAGAATTTCCGATACAGAGCCTCGCGCTGGAGATAATTTTTTTTTTCCCCCCGTACAGTGTTGCTATTGCTCGCTTTGAAATCGTTTCGTTTTTTTTTTAATCAAAAATTCGTTGAAGGGTTACAAAATCTGAAATCGATAATAAAATAAATTTCAAATTCAAATTAGGGCTTCCACGTGCCCATATTCTATGGAAAATTATGTTATTCAAATTTGGGTGGCTCTAGGTACCGTTGTTTTATCACAATGCGAGAAACATACGTACATTTATTAAGATTCTTCATTATTTAATTTCTTTAAATATAAGACAGGGTGATAATACATGGTGGCAAACGATTTCAAAAGTGATTCAGCCTCTTAGCAAAATGCCAAAACGAAATTAATAGTCCTTCAGAGCCAACCTGCACTTTTGGACTTAAAAAAAAAAAAAAAAACGACCGAATGGATGTAAAATGCACAATTTAAGGGAAATTTCCTTGCGTGACAAGGTATTCCAGATTACCTCAGCTTAAAGGTAATAATTTTATCAGATTTTAAATAATGAGAAAAGGGAATTTAGACTCCCAGGTATATGATATACCGATGAGACAAATAATATGTACGTATGTCCGATCTGTAACAGAACTGCTATAGGCAAATATTAAGTTGCATTATACATAAAGTTTTGCTTAATTTAATAACATATATAGTGAGACATCAGATAAATAAACAGCTAATGAGCAATATATCGAACAACTAAGCAGTGAAGAAAATCACGTCATATCATATGCTCCTTTTTTAGAAGGCGGCTGAAAAACCGGCAAAAATATTTTGTAATTATGTTATTACATTAAAATTGCATAATTGAAACGGCGATAACCGAAGAATCGAATTATCGCAGTTAATTTTATATACAGTTTTAATTTAGCTGTATTAAAATTTTTAATACTTATAAATTTCATTACATTATAAGGTATTTCTCCCGCCTTCGTGGTGTGGTGGTCTGCACGCTCAGCGCGTAATTGAGAGGTCCGGGGTTCGATTCCCGGCAAAGGCGTTGCATATTTTTCATCACTCCTGCTTTCCAAAAATTACCTAATTTCTCTACAGTGGCGCCCGAACTAAAAGGGTGTTGGATGATGATTCTCCTTCCCCCTGGATTTGGCGACCTAAAAACCCAGTTGCCAAATCCCACCTTCTTGGTATGCCTTCGTGGTGTGGTAGTCTGCACGCTCAGCGCATAATTGAAAGGTCCATGGTTCGCTTCCCGGCATTGCTTATTTTTCATTTTTTCTGCTTCCAAAATACCTAATGTCTCTACAACGTAAAAAATAACAAAAATTGTGTTTATGATTTCTCATTCATGAATAAGTTTTTTGATAAAATTATTCAAGCTAATTTGTTTTAAGTGCATTCTGCACTCTGATTTATCCCAGTTTGGAAAGTGTGTCTAGAAGCAAAATATTGTTTGCATTTTATTCTCCTTCGAAAAAAGTTTCAACACTTCAAATGTATTTACTGCCTTTTTTTTATGTCATACTTTCTCTGTGTATGTATATCGTACTTCCTCAGAACGATATATGTATATAGAGGACTGTCGTACTTCCTCGGTCCTACTTTTACATCGCACTTTATCGGAAGCTCATTTGATTTAACTGTAAGCGATGAAAAATACTAAGGTTATCTGCCTAAAGAGCGTAATGCTTTCGTGAAGGATTCTGTAAGGAAACCTACCTCACATTTGTACTCCCTATGGAGAAATCTCACAATTTTTTGCGGTGTATGTTGCCGAGCCTCACGTCATTGCTATCAATATTTGCACGATATAATGGGGAAAGTCTTTTACTCTTGTAAATGCTCGAAATCGTGTATTATTTCCAATTACAGAAAGTTTACACTTGTGCATTTCTTCCCCATTTGCGCATGTTAAACTTGTTAGTCTCTCTTTGGAATCTTTGACACCAGTTGGAGCCATTTCTGTAGATAATGCCAAGGTATTTCATTGTACATATTGCCAGAAAATACCAGTCTCATCAGCACTGTAAATTTGTTCTGGAGATAACTTTTCATTAATTGAGTTCAATGAATTCACATGCAAATAGTTCAGCAGCTTCAGTATCAGCTGAAGCTACTTAACTTGGAATTTTGAATTGCCTTATATCATGGCGATTTTTTAATTTGGTTAACCAACCTGTCTAATATGTGCAGTCAGTTTTTAAGTTCATTTCTTCATGAAATATTTTAGCTTTGTAGAAACATTAGGTTAAACTGGAAGCAAGAGAGATGAAAAATAAGAAATGCCTTTGCCGGGAATGGAACCACGGACCTCTGGAATATGCGCCCAGCACGAAGGCACACTAAGAAGGTAATAGAAATAACTCAATGCCAAATCCTGGGTGTGGAGAATCATCATCCCCCACCTTTTAAGTTCAGGTGCCACTGTAGAGACATTAGGAATTTTTGGAAGCCGTAAAGATGAAAGAGGAACGACTTCTCCGGGAATTGAACCACTGACCTCTGGAATATGTGCCCAGCATGTAGACCCCCCCCCACACAAACCAAGAAGACAGGAGAAATACCTTATATATTCCCCCCTTTTAAAGGGCGACTAGGGTTTTTAGGGCACCCAATCGCCAAATTCTGGGTGTGGAGAATCATCATCCACCACCTTTTTTAGTTCGGGCATCACTATAGAGACATTAGGTTAATTGGAAGCAGGAGAAATGAAAAATGAGCAACGCCTTCACCGGGAATCGAACCATGGACCTCTGAAATATGCGCCCAATGTGCTTATCACTGCACCATGAAGGCACACTAAGAACGCAGGAGAAATACCTTATAGCTTGAGCCGTGTTGGAATCCTCAAAAAGTTCCTTTTTCTGTTTTCTTATGTTATATATACCTTTATCCATTTTGTTCAGCAATTCCACGTTTTGTTTAATAGGCATCAAAACATGCTTTCACTTTGTAGATCCTGTTGCAGCTCGAGAATTAGAAACTCTTTTCGACATAATCGAAAGTTCAAACTTTAATTTTCATAAAATTCCTGTAATAATAACCTGCAAAAAATAATAAGCTAAATTCAAATCAGAAAGTTAAGGAAAAGCACAATCTGCAATATTAACTGAAATTCTGTTGGAATCAGTAATGTATAATTTTAGTCTAGATTAATAGCATCCACTGTACATTATTGGCTATGTTATCATGAGATTTGCAATGAAAGACAAATTGTTTCACTTAATTTTGTCTTGTTTCTATTACACACTAAGACAATTAAGTCTGAATTGCATGTGCTTAAGGCTTATCAAAGGCCAGGGCTAGCTATCTTAACTACCTGATGCAGTCTCTGTGGGTCCTAAATTCTACTACCAACTGCCTCCTTAACTTCTAAATTTTTGCCGCCGCTTAATTTTGTGCCCCAGTGCTTTTCCTAAATTCCAAAAATTTTGTCTTTCCTAAATTCTGCTAGCCCGGTGTGGCCATACAAGTTCTGCCGCCAGTTCTGGGTTTATGTGAATAACAAATCAGTTATTCTTAATTCAAATGGCACTAAATTTAATTGTTTGGCCTATGAGTATCATTAACAAAATCGATTTTTAGGAGAAATATTTGTTAAATTTTACCTCATCAACACATCTTGGCACATTTAATTAAAATCTGTAATGGCATCGCTGCATGAGTCGATAATCAAGTTGTCATGTCTTGGATAAACATGCAGTGATAAAAGCAAAATGTAATAAGTAATGATTCACCAGATTGGGCATCAGGTATATAAAATATTAGAAGGTGTAAAAATCAATGATATTTCTGTGTAAAAAGCTTTGGTTTGAGATGTCTGCCAAACAAATGCGCAGCTACGGAATCAATTTATTGACCATGAAAATTTTTGCTTAAATTATCATTTCTTTAATATCGAGGTATTTTATTTTGTACCAAAACGAAATTAAGAATCGGGACTCTCCACATGTTTTATTATGGGGAACAAAATCAAATGCACATGCATAAAGCACATGTAAAAAATTTTTTTAAAAAAAAAAGGTTGGTGGCTTTGAGGTCTAGATTTTAGATCATTCCAAATGCTGGACATCAGGATCTTGGACTTTGTACTGTATAATAACTGCACATTTTATCACGGTTCGTATTAAGTTGCAAACTTTTAATTCAACGTTAAAGGATCCCTCCAGCTTGATAATTTAGCTGAACTGTATTTTATAATATCATTTCATCCTCTAAATTTTGTTGAAAATCTGTCAAGTTCTTAGTGCTAATTCTCGTACAAACAACTTTTCTTGAGTAAAATCACATATATAAGAAGAAAATTTGGTGAATATTTTTTATATGAAATTTTACTGTAAAATTTAAGGTTCATGGAATTAATAACAAATCATAATCACACTATTTAGTGATATTATTTTTTAAGAATACTTAACCATGCTATTGATATTAACGTTACATTTAACATAAAACTTCTTAAACATGTGATAAATTTTACATTTTTGCAATGTAATTGTTAATGATAAAATGCTCTTAAAATTTTATAGGATTCAGCTTAAACGCCACAGCCAAGTAAAAACATGGACCAGGCGTGTTGATATATTTTCCAAAGATTATATAATTATTCCAGTTTATCTGAATTTCCATTGGTTTTTGGCTGTCATTTGTTTTCCTGGGCAAGTTCCTGATGCTACTCCAAATGTGCCTGCTAAGAGTGATGCCAAACTTTCCAAGTCTGCAGGTAATGTTACATCTACTGATGACCAAGATGATTCTGTTAGGACAGCTACTAAAGATGATGAAGGCACATATATAATTATATTTTTTTAAATAATCTGAAAACTGATAAAAATATAATACTGCTATTTTCTATGCTGATTTTCTTTTAACTTTTAAGCATATACTTTATATGTTAAAATATTTAGATTGTACAGAAATGAATTACACAAATGCTGCCACAGAGTGTAATACAGTCAAAAGTCTTTAATCCGGACATCCATAATCCAGAATGATCTATAATCTGGACCTCAAAGCTACAAACTTTCTGCGCATTTGTAAACTTATAATGTGTTTACGCATGCACATATGCATTTACGCATCTGCATAATACGTTTACGCATGCGCGTTTAATGTATAATGGACTGTATAAGCTAAGCTAAAATTATCTGTTTCAGTTAATGTTGCAGATTGCGTTTTTCCTTAATCTTCGAATTGGATCTGGCTTATTATTTTTTGCAGACGGTTAGAGCAATTTTATAAAAGTAAGCTTGAACTTTCGATTATGTCAAAAAGAATTTCCGATTCTGGAGCTGCCAAAGGATCTACAAAGCGAAAGCATGTTTCGATGTCCATCAAACAAAAAGTGGAATTGCTGCAAAAAATGGATAAAGGCATATTCTTTGTTTCTCTAACTATTCTGAAATCTGCTTAAAATTTCAAGCTGCTCTGTGGCAGGAAGGGGGGGGAAACGCCGCAGTGCACAATGAATTAGAAGTTGATCTGTCAGCACTATCCTTATCTTCAGGGCAGATGTTTTTATTTTACTTGGCTTATAATTCCTTACTAAATGTAGTATTTCATTTCGATGTACTCCGTCTTTGATATGATTTAAATTAACTTCCTTGTCATTATAAATATCATGAACACGCATCAAATAGTTTTCTGGTTGCAGTTTTCTAATTTTGACTATGCGTAATGTATGCTTTACGCATGCGCGCGTTGAAAGAATGTTTAATAAAGTAAACAAATGAATATTAAGCTTTTTTTTTGGTAAATTTTGATACCCTTTAGATCATAATTGCTCTTTATTTCATAAATTGCGGTTTCATATTTTTAATTTTATAATTTCTGCATGCTATCTTACCAGATTTAAATATAATCTGGAAAAACCGATAATCCGGAATAGCCAAAGTCCCGACGAGTCTGGATTAAAGACTGACTGTACAATTTATTAACAAAAAACTGATAGTACATCAGTTAGAAATAATCCCCGCCCAAGTCAGCACACTTCTGTCATCAATCTGGGACATCCCGAAGGGCTTTGGTAAACCAGTCTGTGGGGGTGTTGTTGCACCACCTATGGACAATTGCATGCAGTTCGTCAAAAGATTCAATATGTTGGCCACTGACTTCTTCCTTCATGTTGTCAAGAAAGGCGTAGTCCGAGGTCCACCCACTTTGCACGCACATTAGTCATCACAAAATCACCATGCACAATTTCCTGTAATGTTCCTTGCACAAGCCCTGTCTCTTCCTGCATCCTGTTGAATGTTATGTACCTGTTCAGCATGATAAATCTGACACGGCTGCCATATTTGCTGCTGTATGGGATGTTGCTGATCATCCCGTGCTGACAACTTTGGCTGCGATATTCACACCACTGTGAACTTGCCCAGCCAACAGTATATGGTACGCTTTGAGGATGCTTTGTTCCTGTGCACCAATACCATGCAATGATGGATTTCACTACCCTGTATCCCTTGCTTCCATAGGAACCACACTGTCCAATGCTGACTATGATAATCACCTTCCATCATTGCTGTCCATGCTCTGAATGATGATGACGAAAGGGACAGGCACTGACTTACACCGTTCGGCTTGCGGGCAGCTCCATCTATGCATTCTGAGTAGCTCACATTCCCTTGTATCTTATTTCAGTTGTTTTCCCTTCGCATAGCATAATAGTTTCGTCGTGAGACCCGCTGTGTCAATCATTTCTGTGCGATCCAAATATGAGTATATAATATATTTTTGTGTTTCAAAATACTATAATTAAATATTTTAACTTATCCCATTCTGTACTAAAAGAAAGATATTTGAAAATTCAATATGAAGCTTATTTTGTACTTCATTCTATGTTCAAATAAAACCTTTCATCTTGTTACATAAAACTACAATGGTAATTTTTTAAGTTTTAAAATGAATAAACACACCATTAGTATATAGCCGGTAGTGTTTGTAATAGCTTATAGTGTTTATAATAGATCTGTGAAAAACTTCTCAAACAATATGTTTATTCTGTTTAGTAATAATCTGACTACTGAAATATGTACACTTTCCCATTTTTTATCATTACTGTTTTACTTGCCTTATTTGATTTTGGTCATAGTATTTGAAGTTTACATTTGTGTGGTAGAAAATCACCCATTCTCATTCTGCAGTGTGAATTTTACTTGTTTGGAATAGCTTTTAATAAATATGATTTCAGAAGCAGTGTAATAATTTATATCTAAAATTCCATATTATTCTGAGGCAAACAGTTTTTTACATGAATAAAATGTTGAAACAGCAGCCGTTACCAATAGTGTCCGTGTATCTGTCATAATTTGCTATCATTTGTGGTTGTGGAATTGTGATGACATTTCACAAATCCTTAGTCTTTTAGAAGTGCAAAATAAAATATTGAAATCTGTTGCAAGCATAACTTGTAGACTCTTTATTTGTATGTTCAAAGAGAGCAGAATCTTGAAAAGCATTTTACTTGGTGAAAGGTTGTATACATTTTCCATGAAGAAACTTTTTACTCATATTCTTTGTCGATAGTACTGGACGAAATGTTTTTAAAAAAAATTATTATGGCAAAGGATGTAAGGGTTAATTGCTTTTAAAAAAAAGAGAACCAGGTCTTTTTTAAGAAGAATGACTTGCATTCGCATGTATAAGAAAGACTATGAAAATCCCATGTAACTACCCTGCTTATCAGAACTCTAATCCAGGCCAAAGTATAAGCCATCTTATTCACTTAACTACTAGTACTTAAAGTACATATTTAAACAAGAAGTATCTTAGAATGGAAGCATAAAGTGTGTTCATGTTTGAATAGAACTGATCTCCAGCAAGTAGAAATTTCATGCAGTATTGTAGCTTCATGGGCTAATATCTATCCCTAGATTGTTAACAAATTTGTGATGATTATTTAAGGCAGGTACAGGTTAAAACAAGACTGGCACCTATGCATTCCTGTAGGTATATATAAGGTATCACAGGGCCATACTAACTGTTAAGCTTCACTCCAATTTCGACAGGCTCCCACCCCTTTTCCCTTACCAACAACCTCTCGAGAAGACTTTTGGCTCCCTGTATATTTTGATTCTCCCTTGCCACACAGACACTATAGACTTGTAAACACCCATGCCTGTATGGCAGTCGGCATCGCCAACCACTATAGCTTGACAACTGAATATTTAACCCTTTGCGTCGACTGTCAGGTCTACGTGCCAGCAACGAACACACTTACTTCGTCCCAGTCGTGTCAGAGCGTTTCCCCGTTCAGCCCCGACTGTCACGTATTTGTGCCAGTGTCCTGGAACGTTTTAAAAACTATAATTTCTGCCACAAGATGGCACTGCATGTCCATATGGTTTCAGATACATGTAAAATAGACCTTCTACTCGAAATGAGAGAAGCATGACTCACATACACGTGTTTTTGATTATATAAACAAAAGGGGAAATAAATGTTTCCGAATGGCGTGGTTTATGACGTCTCTAAATTCGCATGTGGTAGTTGTTTATTGTAAGTAGAGAAGTTTTATTTTCGCTAAAGCGTTGGGTATTTCGGTTTAAATTAGATCTTGTTAGACGTGAATTCTTTCTGTTTTTAATAGAAACAGACCGGAATAAATATTTTTTAATTGCAGATTTGTTAGACATGAATTCTTTCTGTTTTTACCGTTGCAATCACACCAAGCTCAGCAGAATCATTAAATCCACTCAGATTAACTGAAAGACATTTTCCAAAACTTTGTTCAGAAGAGACTGATAAGAAAATGAGACGACGATGCTTCGTTTGTTCACATTCCCAGAAAAATCCTCCAAAACGGCAAATGAGTTATTACGAGTGCAAGGAATGTAACGTAGGACTGTGTAATGTATGCAATGTAACGTAGGACTGTGTGTAGATCTCTGTTTTCACATTTTTCATACGAAAGAGAATTTTAAGTAATATATTTAGTTTTCAGATATATAATGTTAAAAGTCATAAAATGGTGAGTAATGAAAATAAAATGTGTAAAATATGCATTTAAACAAGAAATAAGGTAATTAAAGTATATATAAAAATATCTTTAAAGCATAAGCCGTTTAAATACTCTATAGAGCATTATTAAACAATGCTTTGATACTTTGGAAATTTCATGGATTTAGGCTTAATAGCAAAAAAGCCCCCGGCTCTGGAATGATGCTCGCGTAAGACACTGCCGGCCTCCGCGATAAGCGCGCGTTTGCGCTACCCAGCGCGAAGGGGTTAAGCAAAAATATTGAGTTTACTCAATAAGTAAACTCAATCAGTCAGTAAACTCAATATTATTGCTTAAATATTATTTCCTATGCAATGTAAAAATCTCCCTTTTATAGACAATATTAGATGAGTGCATCTATTAAAGTGGGCTGTCAGTTTTTTTTTTTAATCTTTCGTGAAAGATGCCTGAATATTGTGTTTTTTCTTATTTATTCTGTATTTGTAGGAAATTCTCAAACACAAGGTAGAAATTCAACAAATAGTAGTACCCTTTATGAAGGGAAAGAACCTCTTGATTCAGAACCTATTCCTGAGGCCTCAGATAGCAGTACTCGTCCAGATGGAAATCATGGTGGCCAACGCCTGAAAATGTACGTGCATACTATAATTTAATGTATTAATTATACAGAAAAATGCCTAATTTAAATTCTGACAATTTTGTATAAAAAATAATATTACAAAATAAATTATATTTTATATTAAATAGTAATTTATATAATCAAAGAATAAAAAATTCTATGCATTTTGATGTTATTTGATTTTAAAATATTGCTACCAAAATAGGTTATCATTATATTTATTACAAGATAGTTTTATTAATTATTTCATTTCATGGAAAACAAGCTATTCTGTTCTGTGTTTTTGAAGTGCTAAAAGTCTGTTATGCATGTGTAGTTTTCCCTATTTCTTCCAATTGATGTTTGTAAAAATATAATTTGTACTGCTATTCAAACTATGTAGTGTATTCATATTTTCTCCTAAGAAATAGTTTAGGAATATTAGGTATTTATTTATTAATCCCCTAACTGTCGTGGGCGTGTATATACGCCTTGCTCAGCCGATGCATTAACTGCCCCAGACATATATATATATATACGCCCTTCCAAAATACTATCATTTGCTTTGTGTTGCTACCAATAAAATTATTCGCAAAGCTTTGGAATGCAACACCACAATGACCTTGACGGTGTATGCGAAGGGGATACTATTTCAGGGAAGAGGGGGACGGATGCTTCTGAAATTGTGAAAGTAGTGACTGCTCAGTATTTGCTGGTGTTTCTGTTTGAGTAAAAAATTTTTTTTTACTCTGTGTCTTCCGTTTTCGTTTCCTGTTTGTATTAGGTGCCAGGAGTAAAGAAAGATAAAATGGATGTTTCAAACCCACATATCTTTTTTGAATTATTTTTTGATAACCTGCTAATGCTTCATCATGTTATTGAAACTAACCGTTTTGTAGACAAGTATATGAACGAACACCCTGCAAAAGAAAAATCAAGAACAAAATCATGGCATTCAACCAGTTCAGAAGAAATACAGTATGAAGTTTGAGATCTAGACATCCAGTTTTCAGAATGATCTAAAATCCAAACCTCAAAGCCGTCACCAACTTTTTTTTTTATTTTATGATTTACTTTTTTTTTTTTTTTAATTTACGCATTCACATTTCACTCCCCCCTCCCCCACATGTGGAGAGTTCCAATTCTTAATTTCACTTCGGCTCTAAACAAAATACCTCATTATTGAAGAATCGGTCATTTTAGCATAAGTTTGATGAATAATTTGGCTCTGTATTTGTGTATCTGCTTGGCATACATTTCAAACCAAAGCATTCTACATAGATACATCATTGACTCTACACCTACCAATATTTTATATCCCTGACGACAACCAGGCGAATCATTATTATGTTTTGGTTTCATCACTGCATGTTTATCAACACATAACAACTTCAGTAATGACTCGTGTAGGGATGCCTAAACAATGTTTTTATATTAGTAATTGAATAACAGAGTATGGTAGCCTTTTCTGTTGACATTACACATGGCGATGATAACAGATTTAAGTTAGATGTGCTAGGAAATGTTGACAGTAAAAATTTAACAAAAATTTATTTCCGCATGCTAAAAATAAATTTTGTCAATGATACTCTTAGGCAAAGATATTACAGTTAGTGCTATTTGAAAATAAGAATTACTGATTTGTTATTCACATAAACCCCGAACCAGCGTCACAGCTCATATGGCCGCGCCGAGGGTCTGACTTTAGAGGAAGACGAAGGTGCTTGGTAGCAGAATTTAGGACTCGCAGAGACTGCATCAGGTGGTACGATTTCTACCTCCGGCCCTCAATAAGCTTTAAGTATATGTGGGAATTTATTTATTCAGGACTCGGATAAGCCTTAAGCATGTGCAAGGAATAGGCATAAGTATAATAAATAACTACACAATTCAGGCTTAAATTGTCTAAGTGCACGATAGAAACATGATAAAATTTAGCGGAAGAACTTGTCTTCAGTTGCCAATCTCATCATATATAGCCACATATGTATATGAACGATAGCTAAATTTTATGATGACAGCAGCGAATATGAAGGTTTTCGGATATCGCAAATTTTCTAATTAACGGCTTTTTTAAAAATGTGGCGAAGCGGTAATAATGAAGGTAATGACAATGCTCCTCGATCATCAATCAATTAACGGATGGCAAAATCTGTAGTATGTTTATAGATCCAGGATATACTGCTACCGATAGTGAAGAAAGTGACGAGAGGTTACTGAAAATGAAAAAATTTGGATTGACAAGTTCGTCGGAAATTCTAGACACAACAATTACAGGATTTCAACAAATGGAACTTTCTAACTGAGAATTTGAGAGAAAGTATTAGCACAAAAAATGAAGCAACTTAAATAACTTGAAAGAAATGGTTAAGGATGTAAACAAATAAATATTTAGCTTTTTTTTAAAATTTGATATCCTTGTAAATCATAAATGCTTCATTATTTCATAAATCACGATTTCATATTTTTAATTTTATTATTTCTACATGCCATCTTAAAAGATTTAAACTGATGATCTAATATCCAGAAAAATCCCAAATTTGGAATCGTGGAAGTCCCGAGAAGTCCGGATCTCTGACTTTGTAGTGTATATGGTTTTTAGGTATACTGATTTCAAAAGATACAACATTGAAACCTGATAACATTTTACTGGTCTAAAAAAATTCATCTTTTTTATTATGCAAACATCATTTTTATTATACTTACATTTTTTTATTATACTTTTACTCTAAACATTAAATTTTGTGCTTTCATTTTTTCTTTTATTCTTTATGTAGCGAAAGTAAACAGATTTTAGAAAGTAAAACTTGCGCTAGCCCAAATACATTGCATAACTACGCACGCCTGTGTGAAAAACGGTGGCACTGGGGAGGGAATCTTTCACATATTCTGCGGCAGTTAAGGGGTTAATATGCAATGCTATGCTTGAAAATATAACTACCACTTGCTTTTTAATAATTTCACAAATGGTAATTTATTTTGGGGTTTAATGTTCTTTCATTTATTTAGTTTGAGGTAATTTTTGATTTCGTTATTAGAGATAAACATTAATTTTTTCACAAGTATTCCTTATAGGCAGATAATCTTCATAATGATATTGCTTATTATTATTTAAAGTGGTGAATTTCCTGCAGTTGCTATTGTATAATTACTTAAAGTAATAAAACATAATAAATAAAATGTACAAATCACTCATCATGCGTGCCAATTTATAAAGATGAAAAAAGTTTGTATCTGTGCTGCTAAAATTTATATTTTCTTTATGAGTTTAAAAGAAAAACTTTTATGTTTCTTATGTTTGTTGTTTTAGAAAAATAATATCTATTTGAATAGTAATATTTTTTTTTTGGGGGGGGTTAATACTTCTAACAAATACTCTTGTAAAACAGTTACTTTACAGTCCTATATTTAGACTTAATGTCTACTTCTTGTTGATTCGAGATGCAAACATATGCATTATCTTTTTCAAATATCCCCTTGAAAAGTTGTTTTTTAGTCCAAATAAAAATATTTCTGGAAAAGTTTCACTATAAACTATAAGAGAATATTCTGTCTTTTGAAAATAGAATTCTGTATTTTCTTGAAAGGAAAGGATTTACAAAAGAAAATTGCCCCACAGAATAATTGAAGTAAATTGTCTTGAATTATAGTTTTTCATAGAGAAAGTTAAGTTTTATTTATGTATTTGGTTTATCAAATTAAATTATGAAAATTTTGGTCACATACTATTATATCAATATTTTTTGAAAAATTATTCAATAATGTAATAAATTGTGTTGATTTCTATTGTCATGCTCATAGTATTTTTAATAATTGTATGTTATAATATTAGCATTTATATTAGAAATAGTTCTTATTGTTAAGTTTGTTTATATAACCTTTGTAAATACTATAGCCAAAATCAACAATAATAAATTTAAACAATTTCAGATCCTTTTGTAGTATATGAACAGCATTATTAAGCTTTATATCTTGCTGATAATACTCCTTTATATGCATAAAATTGCTTTTTGTAAAACAGTGCTGAATGCTTTTATAGTGAAAGACAGTGCTGACTATGAAAATTTAATATTTTTCAGGCCTTGTATATGCATTTTTGACTCATTAAATATACCAAATAGATGGAAAATTGCTGCTATATTGAGAGAGTAAGTTTGAGTGAAGCATAATATTATTTGTTCTTATTTAGCACATATTAATTTTATCCATTAGTATTTGCTTAAAAAAGAAAGGGAGAGTCAAGCATAAAATTGCATAAATTGTTTATTGCATAAAATACACCCAACATAATGTCACAAGCAAAATTAGAGTATGACTTTTAGTCAATCATAGATTAGCTTTTATCAAGCATTTTCTAGTGAGGACCACTTTTACAAATTAGAATTATCTGCATTTTTATCATACATTACTACCAATGTACTTGTATTTTAAAACACAGTTAAAGTCAATTTAATTTTATAGTTTTGTTAACCAATTAAATTAATACAAGAAAAGTTATATTCATTTTTTTAATAATTCTAGAACTGAACTAGGCTGTTAGAGTTTGGGTAATCTTTAGCTTATTAACTAAAAATTAAATGTTAGCACTTCCATTGGCATGGTTGAGCCTGATGATTCTTGCACAGTTATTCTGTATTTCGATGTATGCTGATATGCTTAAGTCAGAGATTGGCACATACATCAACTGATTTTAATCTTTTGCTTTTATTTCGGTTGGTGATGAAAATACTTTCTTACACGGATACATAGAAGTAAATTGAATGATAATTTTTAAAGTACCATTGTACAATTCTTACCATTCATTATTTTTGGTTTTCATTGGTATTGAGCTGCAGAAATTAACTATACCTTTTTGCTTGTAATTTAGGTTTAGTGTCATCAGAGAGTTTAAAGTTTTGTTAACAAAACAATGGTCATTCAGTGACAGTTTGTCATTTTCAGATTGCAGTATAAAGGATCAAGAACCCAGGAAAATTCATTGTACACTGGTTATCAAAAATTAAGGGAAAATCACGATTATTGAAAAGTTACATGTAGAATTTAATGAAACTTACCCACAATATACAACACATAGTAAGATATCAAATAACATAAAAAGAAATTACCAGACAAAGGTGGTAGTATAGAAATTAGCACATGTATAACATGAACAAATCGAAGGTGTCAGTTTGCTATATCCTTTAATATGGAATATGATTGCCTCTAGAAACAATACAGCGATGTGTGATGCTTTCAATTATGTGGTCTATCAGTCATAGGAAGCGAGAGCCATTGCTCTTGCAAAGCAGTTGCAAGTGCAACAAGGGTTTGAGAGGATGGATTGAGAGTAGCTAGACGTCTCCCTTAAGCATCCCAAACGTGCTTGATAGGATTCAAGTCGGGGGATCAAGCTGGCCACTCCATGCGCATAATTGTTTCCTGTTGAAGATAATCATCTACGATGCGAGCCCTGTGTGGTCTTGCATTATCGTCCTGTAACAGGAAAGCATCACCTATTGCCCCAACATATGGGCACACATAAACATCAAGGATGTCATCTATAAATCTGAGCATTCACGGTTCCCTTTAGGAAAGACATGGAGGTCTGTGTGTCCACCCAAAGAGATGCCACCCCAAACACAGACACTGCCCCTTCCGTATGCATCTCTTTCACGGATGTTTGATGGTTGATAGCGGGTTCTAGGTTCTCTCCATATCAAATAATGTCTACTATCGTTTTCTAGACTAAACCTGGACTCATCCGTAAAGAGAACTGCCCTCCATTGATCAGGCGTCCAGTGGACATGTTGTCATGCCCACTGAAAACGGTCCCTCCTATGGCGTGACGTGAGCGGCCACAAATGGCTGGCCGCCTCGCATACAGACTGCCTTCATGACTACGCACAGTTGACGTTGACACGAACCTTCCGGTGGCTGCAGCAAGCGAGGATCTAAGAAGAGTTGGAGTAGCCGTTCTATTCCTGCGTGCACATAATGTCAAATGTCGATCATCGGCGCTCGTCGTAGCAGTTGGCCGTCCTTGGCTGAACCTCCTAGATGCCAAATCTGTGGTTTGAAATTGCCTCCAAAGTCTATGAACCATAGAAAGACTCCCATTTAGCCATCTGGCCACTTCTGTTTGACTTTGTCCTGCCTCTAGTCTCCCAATGGCTCTCCATTACAGTTCTGCAGGCAAATGATGCCTGGAGGTCATTGTTGCGAATCGGCTATCTCATATTTCTGACGTCGCTGTCACAGTGCAATATGTGGGCTTCCTGTCAAACATGGACCTTTTATGCTCCTCGCAGATGACGTATTCAGAAAGCAGCGCCACTAATTTGCATATCGCAGTTTTACTCAGCTACTCTTACTTCGCAACATATTCAAATTTTACATGGTTTGGCTTATTTTTGAGGGAGTTATCACTATTTTTGCGATTTTCCTTAATTTATGATAACTAGTGTAATTAGCCCTTGGAAATTAAGTTTCAAATTGTCTCAAAGATTTGAGATGCAAACATATGCCAATTTATAATTTTTTTCCCCAGTAACAGTTTAATTTTCTACTGAAAAAGGTTCTAAATTTAGAAACAGTGAAACCCAAAGAATTACTTTGTAGACAGAGTAGCTCATTTATTTTTTAGAATACATCTGAAAGGTATGCCAGTGTACTTAGGCACATGAAATTAGCAAGAATGTAATTTTCATTTAGAAGGACCACTTGTCTGCAAACGACAGTTTGAAAAATGCTGTCATGAACAGTTTGCAAATTTCTTTGCCTTCCGGCATGGAAAAAAAAAAAAAAAAAAAAACAGGACCCCTCTTAGCACTCACATTGTTAAGATGATCGTTTACAAATGTTTCCATGCTGTCAATACTTATTTTTACCTTAAGCGGTTTTTCTTATCAATCCAAATTAGTGCATCAACCTTGTCTTCTTTGGTTGAGGTTCACGAGCATGTGATTCATTTTCAACTCTCACATGTTGTTTAAAAGACTTGGATCAAGCAAACTGTGTGGAGAAAGACACTGATTTGCCAACTGAGTTTTAATTTGGAATAAATTGAGACCTTTTTGTAAGTCAAAAGTGTAATAGTGACTATTTGCACAGCACTGTTCTAAATTTCTGCTCCAACATTTTGATTGCAGCTAGTGATTAATAGAAAGATAAATTAGCATTATTGTTGACAAGTTCAAACATGTATGTGTTTATCCACTGAGTCATGGTTACATTGAACTGTTTACTAGAAAGGAGTATGAAAATTCCTCTTTATGTACTTAGATGTTACTTATATTCAAATTAATTATAAATTAATATGTCAAAAAGAGTAACTTTTGTGTACGTGTATTTTAGACCGAAAAAGTGAAAACAAGGAATGAAAAAATTTTAATTCTGAGCACAAAAATTCTTCTGTTAGATAAATGAGACATTTGTCTGAGTTTTCAATAACAACTTGATAGATGCCATTCAAATAATTTTCCGAACTGGTTGTTCAGCATATTTAATTTATCGAAAAAGTATTTGATGGATATATTATCTTTAGTTCTTTTATTATTTTGTTTGGTGCATATTAGTAAAATTTGCTTTAATTCCCTTTTTTCTTTTCTTTATCTCCCCTTTTTTCTGTGTAATTTCTGAAAAAATAAAAAGATATGGTAGATTAAACTGTTATGTTCCTTTTCTGTCAACTTAGTTTTATTGTGAGTACTAGACTAATTATCTCGCCATTTTTCATGTGCATACTGAAAGGCAGTGAAATCTAACTTTTGTAGAATTTATAAGCTGAAATTTAGGTAGGTTTACAGATACATTTTTAGGAGTGTATATTTTATTAATTCAGACTCTAGATTTAGAACTCAATTTTCAAGAAATAATACCTTGTTGTTTTTTTTTAATTTTAATTGAAAGTAAGTAAAAATTTCAAGAAATTTAGCTTAATAAGTTGGTCTAATTTATGGTTTGAAACTTTAATTAGAAGATGCAGTTGTTCCATATAAAGGTTAATGAGAAAAAAGTGTCAAAAAACAGTGTTGGATACCATGTGTTGGGTGGGGTTATAATTACATATTATTCCGCAAACACAATATATCATCTTGGAGATATTTATAAGGTGGGAATAGATATACTTTTCAAACATTTTGATGACCTAATTCAAAATTTTAAATCTTTATTTAAAGAAAGATCACAAAATTCTTTTTATTAAATATTGTTACATTATTCTTTACACGTTAAGTGTTCATAGATTTGGAGTGAATAACTATGACACTTGATGAGGTATTGAAGCACAATTGATTAGCCAGTATTATTCAAGACAGCTCCAATAACATACTTACAGTCGTCGAAGAACTGCTATAAACACCCTGAAACAATCAGTGACACAGCCTTCAGGCTATAACGGTGAAGACAGCTTTACAGCAAAACACCAGGGTACAGCTCCCGACTGCTTGGTTGTTCTCAGAACTAACTGTACGTACTCTCGAAATTCTCCACGCTACAACTCGTGATGCACTAAAGTACAGCTTCTGACTGGGTGTGCTCATTCTTGGAGCTCAGCACACTTTCAGATAAAACTCGATGATGCACTGACTCATGATACACTAAAGCGTTGTTCCCCAGTTCCATGAGTCAACTAGCTCCGCTGTGCCTGCAGTTCAAATTTTTCAACTTGCTGCCCTATGGGAAAAAACTGGTTTTGGAGATGGGTCGACTACGTTAGTTGTGTTCATTAGCTCAGATAAACCCAAGTGGAAACGGCCTTTAAGGGGGCGTACCTCCCTTAAAAGGCTAAAACGTCGAGTAAATTGGACCATTTCAAACTACTGTATCTCATAATATATAAACAGGAAACAAATAAATTTTTTACAAAAGACCCTTAAACTACTACTCTGTCTGAAAATGTGACTAAGCTTATAAAAAAAAAAAAATAATAATAATGCTGAACACTATATGGCACTTTATGTAATTTGGAAATGTAATACAGTCAAAAGTCGTTAATTCGGACACCCATAATCCGGACCTCAAAGCTACAAACTTTCTGCGCCTGCGTCGCATTGACGCACGCGCATAGGCGTCTACGTGTGCGCGTAAGACCTTTACGGCTTGCGAATATGCACGTGCGCGTTTAATGTATAACGGACGGTATAAGCTAAGCTAAAATTATCTAATTCAG